AACCAAAGAAAACTTTTATTAGGCACATGTCTAATACTTCTTCAATGAGATGGACCTCATCAGACTGGTGTTAGAAGTTTATCCATCTTTACTATCCTATGAACCATGCATATGTATTTGCAGTGAGCAGCAATCCAAAATGAATGTAATATTAAGTCCACAAAGGATTATATCTACATCCTTGTTACGTACAAACTAGGGCTATGTATTACATTTATTGCTTCTGAGGTATTACATTTATTGCATACAGATATATAATCGACTTTACTCACACATTCTTAATGATTGCAGATCCGCGATCCACCAGCTAGGCGATCCTTTAGTTACCCACACCACACATATGGGGAGCAAAATCAGGAGGCAAATGCTTTAGCGAAGCATGGTATTGCAGTAAACTCAGGTGCAACAGTCATAGTTTTTGAATCTTGGATCTTTTGCTTGCTGATAAACAAGGCATCGCTTGTCGATGACTAGTGAAATCTACTACAAACTGGCAATCAAATGCCTCTGACCTCTTTTTTGTTTAGTTCTAATGTACCTGCTACTACATCCAACCCATGTACTACAGTTAGTCTTCTGTCCTTGGATCCACCAAGGGTTGGCAATATAACGCCTTTTTGTATAATGTAGATGACCAGCCAAGATCTTTCTCTTTGAATCATTCCGAAGTAGAAGGGGGTAAGATCCTTGCCGAATCCAAGTTATTCATTTCATTGAATATGGAAAGGTCATGGGGCTAGAGCCCATAGGCACCGGACTGAGGTATGAAATGAAGGGCGGAGGTGTATTGATCAATATAAATCTCGAGCGTGGATGATTGATCACCGCCTCCTTGTCCTGGAGGCTCTCCGGCCGGGGAAAGGCTTGCTATCTAACCTTTTTCCTAAATGCTCCCCTCATGTAACTGTTTTAGTTTATAAAGTTTTATCTTCCACGACCAAAAACAAAAACTAGGCTATTTAGAGTAGTAATTTACGGTTGGCATTTGTGGAGTTCAAATCGAGAAAGAATTCTATCCTTAGGTAATATTCCAAATATTACAATTACATTCACCATAAACTCAAATATCTAAGGGTATAAAAGTCTATGAAAGTTTCAAGGAAATCTTAATGTTCAATATTTAACATAAATTATTCATGTTTTATTAAAATAATAATAAATATAGATAGAGATATAGATAATATAAAGTATAGATATAAATAAAGATGTGAGAAATTAGAACCGACCAAGGACAAAATTATGCAAACAAAGTACACAGGCATAGAGTTTCTTATATGTACTGTTCCATTTTTCACACCAGAAGAATTCAGTTCACCTTCCTTTACATTCACAGCACGTAGATTGCACAAAAAGTATTGAAAATCATAAAAATGAGGGCCCTGAAGCTATCCTCTCTATGCTAATGTTGCATGCTGGTTTCACTTCTTTTTTCCTTTTCCCTTGTGTTTCTTGGACTTCTTCCCTTTCCCTGGCTGCTTCCTTTCAGCAACCTGGTTATTGCTTTCAACATTGGTGGTGGCAGACGGCAACTCAATCTTCTCAACTTCACCGCACACCGTGTTGCCTTTTTCCTCACAATCATTGTTATCCTCGGGTACAATGCACTGACTCAGTAAAGTTTCAAGCTTGGGCTTTCTTGACAGCAAGCTCTTCAGTAGTCGCTCAGCGCTTGCTACTTCTGAATCACTATATAGTAACAAGGCAACAATTTAGCAAGAGTTTCATACAAAAGTTGGACATCTTGCCCCGACACTCTAAAATATGTTTGTGCAAGCATGACAATGAGTAGAAGTTACCAAGACCAAGTTGAAGAATATATACTTTCTGAGTATGTACCATATAGAAGTAGTTAGCATAAATTATTGGCTAACAGAACCTTACATAAGCAAAGGGCTCACAACAGGAATAACTCACTAGCAAAAGGCCACAATGTCAAATTAAAGATAATGTACTAGCATGAAGGAATTGGTCGGAAATGGATTTTACACCCAAGCAATTTCATCTTGACAACCATGATCCTGTCTGCCCCTTGCCATTCAAGTTAAATTTTGGGTGGGGTGGAATTCCATTTTTCTTGATATAACAGCTAGCAGCACCTGCTGCCCGACATTCGGATAAAATGAACTCCTACTTCATAAATACAAGCAGCAGGACATATATATTCCAGAAAACAAAAATTGAAGTTCACAATGGTAAGAAACCAGCATACCTCGTTTCCAGCAATGAATGGAGCTGTTTCAGCTCCTGAAGCATAAGGTGCAGTTCCTTAATCATGTCTTCACCAGCGTAAAGTTTCTTCCCCGCAGGCAGAGTAATTGCAGCAGTCAAGAAATTTATATGCGTATTTATTTCCTCCTTAATAAATAATAAGTTTAGCAGCTCAATAATAATAATAATAATAATAATAATAATAATAATAATAATAACAACAAAAAAAAATGTTATAGTCACAAGAGAATTAAGATTACCTTCACCTTCTGAACAACAACAGATATATTTGCAAAAGTCCCATCATTTTCACTGNAATAATAATAATAATAATAATAATAATAATAATAACAACAAAAAAAAATGTTATAGTCACAAGAGAATTAAGATTACCTTCACCTTCTGAACAACAACAGATATATTTGCAAAAGTCCCATCATTTTCACTGCTGCTAATAAGCTTCAAAAAATCAGATATTTCGTGAAATAGGGCCCAATTCATTTGTAGAATCTGCTCAGACAGAGGAGTCACTTCAGAAAGTGGCATTATCAAACTCTTTGGTTGATTACCATAATTCGAGGGAGAAGTAGTGAATTGATTAGTCATGACTTTTGGAACGGTGGTATTAGGAGTTTGCGACCCAATTCTTGCCGGAAACAGGGAGTCAATAATGTCTTCTCTATTGCAGTTTGTTCCCAGCTGCACTGGAATGACATTAGAATACTTCCTGGTATCATTCTCACCCAAGCTGACAAACAAAAGAGGATCACTAGCATTTCGAAAAGCTTCTCCAACTTCACTTGTCTGAAGGTAATTGCGCTTCATTCCTTGTCGAAGAACGCCATAGAAGTACTTCGGAAGCTGGTTCCTAACATCATTGTTACTGAGCACTTGGTAAAGAACATCATAGTACTTACCACAGTTCACACACAATAAGCACAGGATAACAACCAATCTCAAAACAAATAGCTTATAGTATGCATTAACGCTAATCTTCGATCGGGAAATCCATTCAACAGTACCAACTTTATCGAAAATGAATTGTTTCACCATCACAAGAATGGAATAATAAAAATTTTCCAAAGACTGCGTGTTGATTGCAAGCCTGGAAGTGGGTAAGACCTCAGATTGTTCAGAAATAAGCCATTCCACCAATGAAGATCTTGTGGTGAAAAAGGATCCCCGGCGCTGCGACGCCAAGATCAAAAAGCGCTCAACAAGATACAGGAAACAACCCGGGGAAATGTAGTCATTTAGTCTGATCCAATTTGCATTGAAGGTATCTTGTAAAGCTTCACTAAATTTCTGAACAAATACAAGATCCAGAACTTCACTTGGATTATTTAAAGACTTTCGACAACACTCAAGATCACTATTGCTTGACGAAAAAGCTTCATGAGACTCCAAAGTTTTGCCTTCACAAATGGGATTGACAGACACAGATTCTTCCGTGCGTTCTTCTTCCGTGCGTTCTGTTGATTTCTTGGAGCCGAGAATTTCCATGAATGATTTCCATGGTTCTGTTGGAATTTTTCCAACAATTTTCTTGTATAGATCTTCAGAATGTCCTCCAGATGCAAGCAATATCATGACCGTCCTTCCAATTTGTCCATAGCTCAAAAGACCTTTATTGTTAGTATCTTGAAGGACGAATTCTTCGAGCAAGTCACTGGAAAGCTCGGTTCTCCTTAGAGAAATCATATTCTCCACCATTGACTGCCGGGGGTCGAGGGGGAAAACATTATCAAAATATTTGAAGGACTGCATCAAAAAGTTCCGTATTCTCCACTCGAAACTCTTCGAATCAAGGTGTTTGCCCTTGGACTCGTTCAAAAATTTTGCAATCTCATATATATTTAGAAGGCATATGCTTTGCTGGAATAGAGACATTGAAGTCGCAGTCGACTTATAGAGGGATTCCAGAGTTTCCAGAACTTTCAAACCTACAAGGAGCAATTCGGCATGCCAGTGATTTCGAGCGGCATAAATAAAATGCCGAGAATCAATAAATTCCATCTTTTTGCTCCGTCTGATGAAACTTGGGTGAATTTTTTTAACCCACTCGGCTGCTGGATGCAACAGAACATATGTAACATTAAGATCATTCAATTGCTGCCTTGCACCAAAGTAATTTAGGCAGAAATCACAAAAATTCCTATTTTCTCCGAATTCTTCAACATCAAGGACATCAAGAGAATCAAGAAGACCAATGATATTCTTCTTCCACAAATTCCAAAACAGAAGCAGTGTTCTGATACTAACCTGGCTGCATGAAATCAGTTCTTCTGAACTTTGTATATTGACTGATTCCATATCATGCCAATCATACTTTGCTGCATTACTTTCAAAATGAACATCCAAGATTTTTCTACAGCATAACATTTCAGCAATTAGACACTTGCATTTCTGAGACGCAATAAACAGGTGCTTCACGGTAGACCAGTCACTTGACTCATTTGATAAAACTTTAACCACAATGTACATGGCTTGAAAGTTGGAGCCACGCCTCGCAAATGAGATTAACCTTTGCAGAAGTTCCTCCTTTTGTGTGAATGACTTTGGAGGCCAACCTTTACTTCCTGGCACCCATAGGGAGTTAGAGAGAACATATAAAAGGATGAGTGAAGATGCCTTGTCAAAATCCCGTGCCTTCCCAATTAAATCCGCTTCACGAAGAATATTTCCTTCCAGCCATGCAATTTCTGCAGCTTCAGTGAAGTTTCCTAATTCTTCTTCTAACAACAGCAGCTCATCAAGACACTCCCGAGACTTCAAAAATTTGCGTTTCGTATCCATTGAAGGGAATGCTTTAACAAATTTCATCATGGATTCTCTATCGTTGAGCTCACAATAATTAAATGCACAATTCTCCAGGAACTCCATCTCAATTTTGTCAATTTCAGGAGCTTCTTTCCCTGCAGTATTACCCTTGCCAGCATATTGCTTCCAGTACTCAACATATTTCAAACCCAAGTCAAAACATTTTCCTTTCGTGCAAACTAACAAGCACTCAGCGAAATAATTGCCTTTTGCATAAACTCCTGCTGCCTGCTCATAGCATCCAGCCAGTGTAAAACACTCAGCAGCTTTTGCCAGTTCAGGTTTTCCACACTTCTCCAAATAAATTTTACCTGTGGATAAGTTTACAGGTTAAACGGGAGAACACAAAAAAAACAGATACGAAAACATTCTTTAGTCTTGATATAGGCTACCATGATGCAAAGCAAGACTGCAAAAGGAAATCTGTAGTTATTGTTGAAAATGGCAAACTCCCACATCGGTGGGAGACTTAATTTGGGAAGAATTTCTCCCTATAAAAGAAGGCCTAATATTTAGGATTTAAACACACCTCTCATTTGCCTTCTTATCTTNTGATGATGGTGACTTGGCCTTGATGTTGTTGGCGTCACTTCCTGATGAGTACGAGCACCTTGAAACTACTCTACTCCATGGAAATGACGAAGTTTCTCTCAGAGAAGTTTGTTCGGCTTTGTACAGCTATGAACAAAGAAAGGGAGAAAAACAGAAGGGCGGAGAAGGAGAAACACTAGTTGTGAGGGGTTGTCCTCAAAATCAAACGAGGACAAAGAAAGGAAGATCCAAGTCAAAATCTTGACCCAGCAAAGATGAATGTACCTTTTGTCGAGAAAAGGGGCACTGGAAGAAAGACTGTCCGAAGTTGAAGAATAAGGCCAAACATAACAATGGAAAGGCCATTATGGATTCAAATGTAGCTGATTGTGATGATTCAGACTTCTCATTAGTTACAACAGAGCCATCAACATTATCAGACATATGGTTGATGGACTCGGTTTGTAGCTATCATATGTGTCCCAACAGGGACTGGTTTGTGGATTTTCAAGAAGGAGAATATGGAGTCGTCCTCACAGCGGATAACAGCCCTCTTACCTCATATGACATTGATTCAATACGATTAAGGAACCATAATGGAATGATCTGAACATTAACAGATGTTCAATATGTACCGAGTTTGAAGAAAAATCTCATTTCTGTGGGAGCCCTAGAATCAAAAGGGTTCAAAATTATTGCAGAAAATGGAGTGATGAGAGTATGCTCTGGTGCACTAGTGGTAATGAAGGCCAATCGGAAGAACAGTAACATGTACCGTTATCGCGGTGGTACAGTTATTGGGACATCAACAGTAACATCCAGTAATGAAAAAGAGGCAAAAGCAACCAGGCTGTGGCACATGCGCTTGGGACATGCTGGAGGAAAATCCTTGAAAACTTTAT